ATAAATTTCTGAAAGAGCAAAAGGAATTGCTAACAAAATGAGCTTATTGAAATCAATATTGTGTATCAATAATTTAAATTATTATTTTGTTACGTAATATTTTAATGTGTGTATATTTTTTCAGATAGAGGTTTTAACAATATACTCGAGAAATTGTTATCATTTAACTTCAAGAATTCGAATTAAGCACCATAATGCAGTTTTGTTTATATTTTTAGACTAATAATATCAAGAAAATATAATAAAGTTTAAAGGAAAAATATAGAAAGATATCAAGTACAAGGTAAGCAATAAACTTTTATATCAAATTTTATATAAATAGATTGCTTATGAAATATTTGTCAAAGTAGACAAACACACATAACTGTAACACTATGTAACAGAAATAAGTACAAACTGTACCGCTTTTACAATTTTAATACTTTCTTTTACATTTTTTCCTCTTTAAGCTTGCTATACTATTATAACAAATCAGCTTAGAACCGGTCAAACAGGCTTCTAAAATAAATGGAATTTATTTAATTTATAAAAATATTTATAAAAATATGTTTAATACATTCATTATTATATTCAATTCTTTCTGAGTTTTAAGAGAAGAATTTTATACATGACTGTTGCTAACAAGCGACTTTTAGTTAAATACTTTTTTTTAAATACTTTAGTTAAATATTTTTTGTTCCTTGTGGAAACTGCGAAATAAAATTGCATAATTCTTTTTGGACAACTGCTCTGATTTCAACTTGATAAAATTAAAAAATATGCAACTTATAGCTGCAGATATACAAGTAAACAGATCTGCAGCTAAAAATATTTTCATATTATCGTGCTTATACTGAAAATAAATATGTGTTTATAAATGTTAACGCAAATGCAAATTATATAAATCTGTACTAATTTATTTAACATCAATACTATACTAAAAACTTAATGTATTGTATCAATAATATCATTCGCATATTTTTTGCTAATAAATTAATATAAAATTTCAATAATTGTTCACAAAGATTACATGTGAAAATTTTTTGCTATTATCCTTTGTTACATAATATTGCTTTTAGTAATCTTGTGATAGTGAATATAGCATTTTAAACTGATAGCAATATAAACATCACTTTGTCGTACATAAAATATGTATATTTCATTGTTCTTTTCTTTAATCTTGTATGGCTGTGCGTATATATTAACGTGAAATGGCGATGTCAGATACTGAACAGCCAGTACCTTGTATTCTCCTCTCCGTACCTGCATCTTCAACACATAATACGCGATGCGAGTCATCGTTTTATACTTGGAGCGGTTAGGCCCCTTCGGATGCAGCTTCCTTACCGAATTTATCGCTCGTCCGAATCACAGACAAGTCCATATAACCCGTTCATGATCTCGCTTCCCACCTAGCTCGTGCAAAACCCTTGCACTCGCCGCGCTGTTTTCATTCTTATATAAATCTCATTGCAGGCAATATATATTGCACGGTATTCCTTTGGTCATCTCACTCATATCGACCATTGAAATTTATCTCACTGACCAAACGCGAATAACTGAAATGAATCGTTGTCGTGCCGCCTTTTAATTTTATCCTTTACCGTTCTTATTAAACGTGTCGTGAAATATAGGATATTTAAGTCATTCTTATTCTTTTCAATTTCAGATACCGATCGTAACAACAATTTTGGGATAATTCTGTATACGTAATAACGGTAATATATTAATATTTAAAGGCTTTTCTTTAATTAATTAATTAATTAATATTTAAATGAAGTTTATGTATTTTCAATTGGCTATCCAACGTTTATAAATATAACTTAATAATTTTATTGTATTGTATGTAATATTTCTAAGATTTAAAAGAGTAAAAAATATTAAAAAATCCTAAAACTATAAATGGATAAAAATTTATAATGTAAATTGTCTTTCTATGTATGCATGTATGTATTATAAATAAACAAATGTAAGTAAATTATGAAAGAATGAGAGGCATAGAATTGTATCTAATGTACATTGATGTAACTTTGCATTTCTTGCAGCTAAAACGATATGAGAGACGAAAGAGTTTCAGAAACAGCTGCAAAACAATAGGCATAACTTCTAACATGGTTGACACGCCGGTTACCGCAAGCCAAAAGCAGCTAATACAGCAAGTTATCCACTTAGAAATCCGACGGAACATTGCGAGAGAAGAGTTTGAGGAGTCGGAAGGTGTAGGAGGCTGTTACCAACTTTGGATAAACCGGGCTAAGTTTCTTGGCTCGGTACTTACGAAACTGCCATGTGAAAACGTTTAAGTTTATTCTTCTCATACGCACCGACAGAGAAATACCGCATCGATTTACATAACGATTATAAGTTAATTAAGCGCTTAAATGTGTTATTTATCAGGACTGCCTTAAATAATATATCTTCAGAATCATTATCGATTTTTATATTCTGATGGCAGGAATGTTTAATAAAATAAATATATCTACAAATCCGATCTCTATTCAAAGTCCGAATCAAAGTCCGATTTCTATTAACTATTTCATTTATATTCGTCGTTGAATATGTAAATTATAATATTATACTATTAGTAAGTTTTATAATACTCAAAAGTTAAATTAAATTCAACAAAGGAGCATAAGAGCCAATTCGCAGAATGTACGTACAAGTGTGTATTAAACAATTTCTTCGTAAATATACATGTAGCATATATATAGTATACATGTAGCATACTACATGTATATTTACGAAGAAATTGTTTAATACACACTTGCACGTACATTCTGCGAATTGGCTTTTATGCTCTTTTATCGAATTTAATTTGACTTTGTTCAGATAGCCAATAATTTGTTTATAATACTCAAAAACTTAACAAAATTCAAAGATAGATTTCGTTCACAAACATTTAATTTACAAAATATTTAGGAAAGATAGTGTTAAATAATTCTTTAAGCTTTATCATTCGTTCCACAAAGAGAATATTAAATTTAATGTGGCAATGATATATTTTACGTAGGAACTTTAAACTGACAATTTGTGCTCTACAAAATGGTCCGTTGTAATATTTTATCGAGAAAATATTGGATCCAGTCAGGGATTTAAGATATTTCAGTGGTCCTGTTCTTTAAAGATAAGATTCTCGTTTTTCAAGGTCACGACGACATATCCACGCAGTGACAAAGTGAACATTTGCGATTTTCAAAAGATTATGTCAAATTTTTATAGAAGTTAATTTAACAAAGTTAAATATTTCTATGGTTTTCTGTCTGCTTTTTCGTTCTCCTTCTCTCTCTTCAATATTATCTGCGGTAAAACTGCATTAGGAATGACTTCACTGATTTGAATAATCTTGACATATATTGTTAAAGTTATTTCTCTGTTAATCAAATGATTTTATATCATTCGTTGTTTATTAAAAAGTTATTAACGAATAAAGTCGACAATATAAAGATGTGTTTAATTCTATTTTAAATTTAACCCATTACGAATTTTATGTAAATATCACATTATGTGCATAATTGAATATTTAAAGAAATAAGTGGCGGAGAAATAGAGCCCCCTAACACTCCCCCCCATACACTCTCACAAAAAAATGTAACTGAAACAAAATTTTGTAGAGTGGATCTCGCTTCGCCTGTTGGAAATCCATATAGAATCGTACAAGGATTTACAAGCTCCACTCCATATTGCCTTCTGCTTACAGTGCGAAACGAGATTGTAATTGTACGATTCTATTATACATAGGTTTCCAATTTCCCAAGCAAGGTCCATCGAATTTGATTTGAGTTAGATTTTTTTCGGGGTAAGAGTACAGTATATGTATATGACAGAGAATACCTCTATTATTCAACTGGAGCCTTTCCCCCACTCACGTATTTATTTAAATACGCAAATATGTGTTATTTTGTTATTTGCGCATAATGTGCTATTTATGCTACACGGAAAAAATTTTATATTTAAAATGATTATAATGTGATAGCAGCTGCGGACATCATGTAATTATAAGTTTAAATGCTATAGCCATTTTTTTAAAAACAATAATACATAATTTTTACACTTTTTCATAGTAAAAATGTATTATTACAAAATCAAAACTTGTTGAATAAAAGTTAGTATTGTAAAGATAAGTAAAAAGTATATACCTAGCAAATTTTTTTTGCGTACCATAGTAAAAATTAACTCTTTCCATGTTAGAAATATGGCTTAAGTACTGGTTTAACAAAAATTACTTCATTTATGTGATAAAATTAGTATTATCATAGTAAAAGTTATGTCGGAACATTGTTGTGAGGGTCCATCCGAAAATACAAGACATAGTAAAATATAATTTAAAATTGTATTAAAACTTAATATAAAATTTTCTCCGTGTATGTAAAAATTCAAACAGAGTTAAACATCTTTATCTTTAGAGAAAGTAATTAAGTTTCATTGTTAATAACTTTTTAATAAACAATAAGCGATGACTAAAACTTTATGATTGTTACTTAGAGAGAAGGATGATGATTTTGACAACATATGCGAATATCATTGAAATCGGTGAAGTCATCCTTAATGTTCAGTTTCACTTTACCTTTCTATCTATTCTTATATCACGATTAAAAAATTGTATAATTATGGATACTTTGAAAAAAAAACTCATTTTAATTTTGAAATCTATTTCGAGATGTAGAAACGGTAATTATATAATTAAATTTCCACCTGAGAATATCTATAAGATAATGTTATTCTATTTCTTTATTAGATTTTATCCGAATAGGTCGCGCGCCAAGAGAAAATTGAAGGGTGTCTTCGACATCTCGTCAGAATGGGACCTTCTCCGAGTAAACACATTTCCGGAATGTTGTATAACGCAAAAGTAAAGGAAAGATGGTACGGAGGAGGAACAGTGTATGCAGACGCGAGCCTATATCAAAAGTTCGCTTCCGTTGGGGTTCGCGAAAAAGGAGACGATGACATGGCTGCGTTAGGTAAGTTGACTCAGGACGAAATTGGTTTCGACGCGTGTCGGCGAATGTCGAACTTTCATCGTGATACCTTCACTTAGATAGACATCACTGTACTTTTGCAGTCATGAAAGGAAAAACTGCAGAAATTCTTCAAAGAAGTAGACGCAGAAAAAACATTTGTGCTTGCAAATTTAAAACAACTCGAAATTTTTGTTTTACTCTTATATTAGAATTATTTTTTACATCGTGTAAAATATTATAATGAGAATGATATAATATCATGTCTATTATTTGAATTTTTGCATTACTTTTGAAAAAAGAATTAAATTAATTTAACTTTATAACAGAAAACTATTTCTAATAAGAAGAATAAATTTAGCATGAAAAAGGTATATGTTTAGCATAGTTAAATTTTTTCGTGATAAATGTCAGCTAAATTCCACGAGACGGTTAAAATGAGCACTTGACAGATAATTTATTAAAAATATGTGTTATAAATTATTTAATATACTAAGTTCGCCATATTATGAGTCTTATAAAAATATATTTATTTCAATATTTAATCTATCGATATATTAAAATAAAGCAGAATATTATTCTTTTGACTTTTAATTAAAGAACACGTCAATCAGTCTTTTACATTTTTCGTTTTAATCATTTGTTTTTACTCATAGAAATGCTGGTTTATGAGATTTATTTAAATTGTGTAAAAAAATTGACTATTTCTAATTTGATTGCTAAAGATTTGACTATTTTTGTATGTTACTTTTAAAAAATATATAATATAATTTGCTAAGATTCGGTGATGATTTCAGCGTAAGTATATCGCTGAAACACATTATTGAGAAATATGCAAATATAAAAACATATAATTGAAAGTGGTACTCACGATGTCGAAGTCCAGATTCTCGGCAATCCAGTCGCGTCCTTGCTTAAATTCATCGTGGAGACCCATGATATAAAGAGTGTCAAGTCCATCGACGATAGTCGCGCCCATATTCGAAGCTCCGAAGATACTGGCACTGTGACCTCTCTTTGAGATTGGTCTTAATTCGTTTTTTCCCCATGCATACCGTACGTAATTATCCCAGCCATGCTTCATCATCTGCGTCAGAAAAATGAAAGAAATTAATACAAACTTTTCATTTAAAAAATAAAAATGTCTACTGTTTTACGATTACATAAAATAGTAGCAATTATACACACAATTGCTTAGGCGAGAATTGCCGAATGCGTATCATTTAAGATATTTTTTATTATTTTTTCTATTTGGTATTGATTTGTACGCAAATGAACATTCTGGAAATTGTAGTTTGATGTTTAGGCCTTTATTACATGTTTAACTTTTTACCAATAACAAATTAATTTGATATAAGTTTTTGTAAACTGCAAAAGATACAATTTCTCGCCTAAATCGTACTTTCTTTAAAAATATCGAATTTATGAATAAAAATAATTAATAAAAATAGGGGTATGCAGAAGTCTTTTCTTTTTAATTTTAATTTACATGTAATATAAGTATTGTTCTTCTATTTTTTGGCCAAGTCATTTAATTAACGACAATAGCGTTTGACATTAACAGGTTCGCCCGATTTAAGGGGCTCTTAATGGAGCACACCTTTTATATCTTATCAGATACACAAAAGGTCCCTCACGTAAAAATTACTGTCTTTAAAAATCATATTGTGAGATACAGTACCCTCATCAAGAATAGAAAATTACTTATGAAAATGTAAAAATTCAAAATAAAATTGTATAATTAATTGCTATACTAAAAATGTAGATATCTCGAATAAAAATCAATGTCTTAGAATTCTAAAATGTCCTTTCTATGACTAATAGTATGTGCAGCTAAAATATCGAGGTATCGAGCTTCTAGGATGTGCGATGTGAACTTTCCGTGAATAACAAATATATCCGTTCATTGACCGTTATTTCCGTTTCTCTTGATTTTTCGAGTTATTTGTCGAGCACCCGTGGTTATGGTCGCTTCATCACGTTTTTATGACGGCATAATTTAGGGGCAATATAATATCGAAAAGACCTGATCAGTGGCATTACCAGAAGGGTCTCCTCTCTGTCTGTCTGTCTCTTTCTTTCTCTCCCCCCTCTCTTTTTCTCTTTCTGGTTGCGGTTGTAACAAAAAAAGGGGAAATTAGAAAGGACGAAGAACCGCGAGATGAGAGTTAAAAAGAAACGCGTGTTATTTTACAATTACCTACATTCACTTTTAAATGTAAATCGGATTTACACTACAGATTATAAATTCGGCGACGCTTGCAATTTTCTTGTATCGCGAAAAGTTAAATATCTCGGTGAAAAAAATCGTAAAGGAGTTTTCAAAAATATATTTTAAAAAACAGATAGAGCTATAAATTGTCGTTTAATTTCTACGATATTTTATATCTAAATTATATATAATAAAATTGAAAATTCATATTTTTTCGATATTTTTGTTTTACTCTGTAGCGCTGTAGCATGTTGAAACATCATCAAACAAAAATTAATAAAAAAGTATTTTAAAGTAAGCTTTCTAAGCTTTAATAAAGTTTACTGAAAAAAGAAAGAAGAAAAGCAATTTTTATTATAATATTCACGATTTGCATTTTTTAATAATATTCTCGATTTGCATGTTTTTTTCCAAAATTTTTGAAACACCTTTTTAAATTTAATTTTTGGAATTGTGAGAAAATCGTAAATGTTGTTCCCGAATTCATAAACGGTAATGTACTTCCTGCGACTTTTCGCAATACATAATCACATTAAATGGAAATAATAATACACTTGCGATATTATTTTAGTAATATAATATGTGAAATTGATTGGTACAACGTCGAAATTCCCAGTCTATATTGAAAGGATGATATAAGCTCGTGATAACTGTGTGAGGGTGAAAACGTTGAGAAGTGGGCTGTCGCAGTAAAGATGCAAAATTCCGTGGAGCTTGAAAAGCAGTGATATCGCATTATTACGTCAGCTTAGAAAGCAGGTTGGCGATGCAGAAAATTGTAGAGGACGATCGTACAGTACGGGTTGACGGCGGCATCACGCGTCGCGTCGTTCAACGCCTTCCGCTATTATCCATGTAATCATGGATAATTTGTTCCGTAGAAACCGCGGCGAATGCACAGCACATGTCGGACCTGTAGCCGGTAATCTGGTTAACATCCATGTTAGGATTAAACCATTAGCCTCGGTGTCGGTCGACGGATCGAAAGGGAATGGTGAGGAGCGACACGGGAGAGGAGAAGATCCGCAAGGCGGACAAGGAGAAGGCAAAACCTCGTGTCGGACGTGTGGCCTCGTTCAATTATTCTCTCTTTGTTACGTCACTTCCGTGGTAACCGGGTTCTCTTCCTGACTCGTCCGGAAGACCACGTTTCTTTTTTCGCTTTCGTAATCCAAGAGTAATCCATTAAAACCATTTAATGTGTTTAAGTAGTAAGCACTGACACGGAAAAAGCAGTGCACCGGTCGCGCGAGATGTCTATTTTAATTAGCAATAAAATTATGCAAGATTTATTTTTACTTAGGTATATTTATGTCTGGGACTAAAACTACCGTTTAAGGCGTCAAACGTATTCGATAATTGAAGATAAAATAAATAAAAGCGGTTATCACGGAATTTGACATCTTTTTTTTTAGTTCGTAATTCTTGTTTCTTCGGACGTGGCGTTTTGATAAAATATGCGAGAATTTATTATGAAACTCGTATGTGGTTTAAATCAGCCTCTAATTAATTCAAGCTTATGGATAAATTCATTATTTTACACGCATTACTCACGCGTAGACAAACACGCGGCAGGTTGGGGCATCGCAGACGATATGAATTCTGCAGAGCACCCGCGGGAGCTCTCTCGCGTTTTGAGAGAGAGAAAATATCCTTTCAAATTGCCTGTGCTCCACGCATTTCCATTAATAAACAAAATGCACGCTGGAAGGGAGGAAAAGCAACAGCGCAGCTTCGGCGAAAAGGGAAAAGAGAGAAGGTGGAGGGAGGAGGATAGAGGAGGAACAGGAGGTGAGGGATTGTGGAGCGATGCTCCGTCAGACGATTGAGTATGCATGGTACACAAACAAAGCAAAAGCTTTGGATACTCTAGGGGCGATGCACACAAATGCGCATCGGTGCTGGGTCTGCGTGTGCGCGGGTGTATTGCCGATACCGGGCACGTATAAGTGTACTTAACCGTGGCGCTTTTATTTCCTCTCTTTATTTCCCGCGGTTTTCAATTTACGTTATTTATTGCCCTCCACGACCGTCCCAGTCGTCCAGCCGCGCGTCGGCGTCCCACCGTGATTTTGTGAAAGTACCCCAAACTCTCTGCCTCCGTCAACATACTCACACATCCGTTCACGCGCATATATGTATGTACATCAAACGCGCGTGCTTTCTAGAACTAACACCATTAAAAATAGCGTGCCCCCGTATACGATATCCTTTTTTATCTGTGATATGGTGAGCCTGTATGATGGTACGATGGAACGTCATGAAGCCTTTTAAAAAATGCTTCGCGCACGTCATAAAAATCTAACCACGCCAGTTGCGCATAAAGAAGCGAACGCATTTTACGCGTTGTACTTTTGAGGAAAAGTCAATCAAGGCAAGAAAGAACTTAATATATAACAGAGATAAAAGATAAATAAATTAATTAATCAATAAAAAAATATAAGGAAAATTAAATATATAAAAAAAGATTAAATAAAAAAGAAAAATTCTGTTCTGAAATCTTTCTCTCTCTGATAGATTTTCAATCATTTATCAACGGCATTTAATTATATAAAAACAGATTTTTCAAATGAAAAAAGTTTAATATCTGATGATTTTCCATTTATTGATCCATACAAAATTTACTATGCATACACTAATATTATGCATAGCGCAGTTCCAAAAACTGAATACAAGTGCATCAACCTTTTTATTTTTTATACCAGTCAATCTGAGTCAGTATTAATCACAGAACACTCAATTATGACGTTCAATCGTTGTCGGATCTCATTTAAATGTAATTAATAAAATTTAGGACGTATCTCCACCCTTTGATTCAAAGAAACCTTTCTCTGGGTGTCTGCGGTTAAATGTTGGTGAAAACGGAAGCTGTAAATTTATAAGGCACTCATTCTTTGTGGATCGTATGGGTTTTTTAAAAACTAATAAATCTATTTAATTCATCAGTGTCGGAAACGTTCTTGACATTCTAAATTTCTTGTTACTTTATTATATGTTTATCAGATATATTTAAAATTTGACGAATAAGTATATACATCTCTTGATGCGCAAAGAGGCTACTGTATAATTGAAACCAAGCGCATAGCAGAAAGAAAAATAAATGCATATTCATGCAACGTGCTACCATATACCTCGAGTTGGAAGTGTGAGAGCAAACGACACCATGAGAACCACTACGTAAAGGACGTTGTAGGAAATTCTACTCATCTCGAGCGTCTCTTGGCACATATACAACTCAGCTCAATGCAACGAGTTTAGGTACAAACGACCCGAGATACACATATATATGTCCGCTTCTAGAAGGATTGACATAGAAGGAAGTAGATACAAAAGTCGCGTGAGAGATAAAGAAAAAGAGAGAAAGATAGAGAAAGAAAAAGAGAAACGAAGACAAAACGAAATGAGATGACAGAAGAGACCCCGAAATCCTACATCCACGGTTGGCTTGTGACCTCTCTACGGGATTTAGAGTAGTTATAGCTTTGTTTATTATTGTTAGGCGAGTTGCGTATTGTATAGGAGCTCTCAAACCAACGCGAATTAATCTTTGCTAAGTGGAGCCAATGTGGAACTGGCATTCCCATTTCTCTTCCCTCGCGCCATTCTGCGAGATCCGCGGATGAAAGGTAGCTTCAGAAGAGCTTGTGCGCCTTCGCTCTCTCGCCTTCTGCTCCCTTTCGCCTCATCCTGCTTCGCGAACTCCATACTTCTATCATTATCCTATCCTGCCTCCCTTAACTAGCATCTTTCATTAAAGGAAGCCGCCACCATTGTGCCCAACTTGTACGACTCGATAGACAATGCGACTTTGTCGGACTGCCGCAGCTGCCGTTTACGCCGTTTGCTCTTGGATCCTCTCCTACGAAATTTCCAGATCTCTAAGTGCTAATTCGCGAGGAAGAGAATATATCCTACAAACGCTATCATAACAAAGCACCTGGAGCTCTGCAGTCAGCGAAAGAATTAGGCCAATAGTGCTACTATAGTTTTGTATTGAACAAATAACCACACAATATGACAAATTAAAAAATCTTATGATCTCTTTCATCATATGTTTTTGTAAATTTATCCATTCATAATAAGATCAAAAATATTCAAATTTTTTTGTACAAAAAGTAAGGAAAGAACAATTTATAAAATAAAGTTAAAAAATGTAGTGACACTATAATAATAGTAGCAAATCGAAATCGCATCTGGAGAAAATATTTCTTTTTTTCTTATAAGCTTAAAGTATACTATATATTTTTTTAAAACCTTGGTATTTTCAATATTCATTCTTTTAATATTCATTTATCCATTTTGTAATTATTATTATAAAAGAATTATTAAAAATCTTTCGATATATACAACATAGAAGTTATAATTTCTAAAAGTAATAAATAAAAGTAATAGATAAATGTGAATGAAGTAAAAGTTAAAGTTTAAAGATGTCTATGCTTGTCATATTTGTCTTTTTACAATATTCTCTAGACAATTGAATTTGTTTTTCTTTAAATATCTCGTAGTTGAGAACGGTGATTATTTCAAGTTTGAGAAGGAGAAAATTTAATATCTGATATGCGCGATTAAATGAAGTGGAGATACGCCTAAAACGTGCGGGCATGAAAAATGTGCGAGCGTTTTAATCAGCGTCGACTCTATGGTATGATAATGGGTGGTCACGCCTACTGCATTAGCTCGACTAAAAACAATTAGCCTGATGGCTACCCACGTTTCTCGGTACAGAATTATTCAAGAACAGCGACGTAGCGATTTCCCTCGTTTCGTCTGAAATCACCGGTCGTGACGCCGTCAACGAGGTTGCGCAATGAGTTTAGTGCCATCGCGTTTCTTGACTATAAAGACAGGGAAACACAAAGCAATGAACTCAAAACGTAAAACTATTGAATTAAATCAATGAGCATTGATGTATCGACACTTATTGATACATCAGTTAATTTTCTCGTTTTACTTCAGGCTTTTAGTTTTATACAACGAATAATTTTAGTACATCGAAAAAAGATGAAATGTAGTTTATCAAAATTTAAAGTTCAAATGAAATTTGTACGGAAAATATTTTTATAATAACGATTTAATTTGAAAATTCAAGAATTTTGAATAATAATATGTCGTATTATCATATTTCCAAGTGTTCTTTGTATTATATAATTAAATATAAATAAATGTTAATTAAAAATATTCTCGCTATAAACATCTTTAAAGTTAACAATTAAATTTATATATTATGAATGTTATGTCGTTATGTAAAATAATTTCACAATTATAAAAATCATTTCGCTTATAAATTATACATAATTATATAATTATTGTCTCCTATCAATATTTTAACGTTATTGATTTTTTATTTACGTTGTTTTGCGAAACAAAAAACAATTTTGATATGAAAACATAATTAAACACATATCATAAGATTAATTGCGAACGCTTAATTAAAATATTATGATTTGTTCGATGAGTTATATCAATTCACCAGTAAATCTCTTTGTGTCGAATGATTGCTTCCACACAATAATCCACGACTAACTTGCAATCAATTGTTATCAAAATATGACCTATTTTGTTATGTAGAAACATTTTTACGGCAGTTGCATAGCAAGACAAATTATTGATTAAATGATTGTATTATTTTTTTTACAATCAGTATTTAACTTCTATTAATAAAATTATTTAATTTCATAAAATGTGCTATATTGTTGGTACTACGTAATTAATTTTGTTCTAAAATCAATATTATAGTATTATTAATTAATTTTAGTTTTAATAATAGAACTACGTTACATTATCTTTTTTTCAAGCAAAAATGGTGTCGCCGATTAAAAATAGGTTATAGCAAGAGAAAATATTTAATTTTTACATTTATCCTCTGTAGTTTTATATTTTCCAAAATAGTAAAAAATCTTGACGAAATATTGGTGAAGTATTACTATTAAAAATATATCAAACGATAAAATACTAATATGTCAAATATTATATAACAGTTTTCTCGTTCATTTTCAGATAAAAAGATAGAATGTCAATTTTACGATGCTGAATACAATCGAATTAATTAACCTGCCTATCGAAGTATGATCGGATCTTCTCTTCGACGAGCACCTGCTCGTCATATGTTACTACGAAGGACAAGAATCGATTAAACTCTAAATTGAGAGGGCTGCATTGAATCAACTTAGTCATACTAGGTACGTCACGGAACATGACACATTCATGCACCGGTCAATCCAGTTTGACACTTTACTGGACAGTTATCGGTCATTCAGATTTTTCTTTTTTTTTTTAGCAACTGTCGGTTACTCGGGAGTTAATTGATTGAGTTCCATTTGTCCATTTCCGGAACAAACTCAGTATGTCGCGATTGATTAATCTCGCTAAGGATTGAAATCTTGCATAGCAAACTATATATGCTTTTTCACCTATTTGTATTTCTTCTATTTCATGAAATTTGTGAAGTTACTTTTCTTTCTTGTAAATATTGTAATTTTATAAAAATACAATGTCGTATAACTTTTAGAAGGCTTTCGAAATTCTATTCTTTAAATCAATTGAGTAAGAAGCGCTAACTAACGGTCACACAAAGTTAGGCGTTGAAATAATAAATTCTATATATGTAATTTATTTTAAATATATTTACTTCAGCATACACACACTGCGCGCATGCACGCACACAGACATATCAATACGCGCCAATTACTTTTGGATTTGCAACAAAATCAAACTAAAATGATATAATAATAATCTCATAAATAAAATTTAATCGTCGATTTAAAGAATTATTGCAAAAAATATTACCTCGGAAATATTATTTCAGTTTTATTGTATTGACATCCAAAAGTAATTGACGTGCAATTATATATATCCGAAATGAATGCATAATTAAACTAAATTATATGTAAAATTATTATTCCAATATCATAACTATAATGACCATAGTTGGTGTTTCTTCTTACTTATTGTTAGTTGATTTATTCAAAAGGTCGGTCTTGTTTCTAACTTATTAATGTCTATTCTTTAATCAAATTTGAAGTAAATATTTTATCCAAAAATAATATTAACACTTAATTACAATGCTGATTTGGTTTAACTTAACGAACTTATTTTGTTGAAATATGAAAATTTAGCTAGATACATCTGAAAATAATTTTGTTAGCTCATCAAAATAATTATATAGGAAGTTCAAGCATGATAAGCAATGCTGTGGAAAGATTTGACACTCTAGCAACTACCTTGTGCCTACATAATTATTTTGATAATTTAAAAAAACTCATTTTCAGATCTGCATCCACCTAAATTTTTAGATACATCAGTAAAACCATAGTTCTTTCCGCATATGACTGAATTTTAAAGTAATTTATTCGAATACTTCATCAATTGTGAGTCGAATTAGATCTTACATAAAATTACGTATTATTTAAAAAAATATCGTTTTATTCATCTTTACATCCTGAATGATTCTCCTTTATTTTTTCTATCTGTGACCTATTAACTAAACACGAATATTGATGTGGCAGAACGAACAAAGAGCTCATCGGTTTTCTTTTACGAATCTCTTTAATTTCCGCCATTTCTGTGATGCCGCTGCAGTGACAAACGATGTGGCAGCGGTAAAAACCGTGAATAAAATGAGTTTTCAAAAAATGTAGGTCTGAATATGCTTTTCAAATGCAGGAAACGGATATTTCATTTTAAATACGTTTATCAAAATAAAACGTAAAAGATTGAATCATTGTTAAACGTTATAACACATGAAAAAATATACGTGTATATCTACACGAACAAATAATCATGATAATAAAAGATAAATATATCTATATTTAATATATAAAACTAATAATAACATGAATATGAAACTTACCTCTTCGAATCTAATCCTTTCCACGTTCTCTTACTCTTTTTTAACTCTAGCATGCAAAACAAAAATCAGATGCGCTCTTACCTCTTTAACTTTTTCACGGCGCTGATTGGTCACATCATCCAAAGGTGGATTAGGCGGTCTAATAACGTAAATGCCAGGAATAGATACGGCTGGCATTTCGACCACCGAAGGCTCGAATTGTTTATGTCTGATATCTACACGTCGATCTTTGTCTTTATTTTTATCTTCAATTTCAGGCTCATCCTGCCCTGGAACCACATTATCTTGTATCCAGGCTGGATTCAACTGTTCGTTGCGTTCTTCCGGCGCGACGCCTCGATCGACGACATTCGCGAGATCGCGTCGTGTTATAAATGTTCCGGTTAGAAGAAGGATCAGGATCACGGACAGCAGTCCGCTGATCGCTAATCTTTGCATAAGCCTCATGTCGTCTAGACACTTGCCGCAGCTTGACCAGCCGCCTGGAGTCTCGGACTGGATTGCGCTCGTATTGGCAGAGCTATGAAGAGAATGTGAAAAATTCATTTTGTCAAATGTATTACTAATAATTAATCTTTATGACAGTGCTTACTAATATAACGGCAATCAGCGATTACATGAAAATCAGTACAACGCATAAGCTTTATTCATTCGTATGTATATACAATGAAATTTAATTATAATTTCTAAATTTTTGAATGTTCAATATTCAATACCTTTTTTTAGATTGAAATTCTTTTATTTAAAGAAAGATTTAAAATATAATTATTTGAAAAATGCAATTAATTTCTATAAATTGACTGATCTTTTACGTTAAAATTTCAACGCTTCATTGAGCAATTTAACGCCAATATCGATCACGAAGACCAATTTAAAAAGAATGTTGATGCCGTACATCAGAAATTACAAGTATGAATCACAGCCGCAGCATCTCATGATACTTACTTGCAAACCACCTGTTAAACGTAATTCGAGCACGGCAGCGAATAAATATGCAACTTTTATTCCAAGTCGTTACAATCAGTAGGCTTTTTTAGTATGTTTCTTGGAAATAACTAATTCGACGAAATTAAGCCGATTAGGTCTCACGATTATCAGCAACTACGAAGAAAAAAACATTGACTATGTTACGCTAATCAAAATCTCGAACAAAAATAAATTATTTTTCAAATAACCGAGCATCTGCAGTTGTTTGAAATCGCGCGAAATTATATATATTGCCGGCAAGTTCGTTGACTCGAATCGCAAGGCTGATCCACTCAAGTGAAGGTAATTTTTCGGGGAGAATGATTACATCAATGCACCGCGAAAAAATATTAAAAGCGATACGTACACCAAGTGCTGCGAGGGATGACGAGCAATATCGCCGATCGAGAAAGGAAGGCGACTGGAGGTACGAAGAGGTGAGAATCAAAGAAGGTGAGATAGTTTGAAGATTCCGAAGTCTCTGCCGAAATGTGATCACTGCATTTTTTATCGAGCCCGAGGGATCGCGAACGGTTTCTTCGGTCCTCCCTGCATCGAGGGCCTGCGTGCATTTTATCGCCCGGTCGCTGCAGGCGTTACACCTGCAGATCTCGATTTTCTTTCCTTTTTGCTACGCAACGTGCCTTTCAGCGCAGCTTAAAATCTTCCGACTCTGCCCGCTCGTTCGTTATCTATTTCCCGGTCAAGAACAATTTAAAATTGAGTTTTAAGAATTTTTAAATTTTAAGGCCGGTATTCACAGTCAGATCTTATATTCAAGATCGTCTTAAGTACAGTCTTAAGAAGTCACGAACCAATCAGAGGACCGTATTAGCGTCTTAAAACATTACTTAAGACAGTCTTGAAATAAGAACGGACTATGAATATCGCCTTAAGAACAATTCTCAATCATATAATCAACGATAAATATAATTGAAAATCATTCACGATTCTTCTCTGTATTTAAAGAGGATTTTTGCAAATCACTTCTAAAAGACAAAAATTCTTTTTTTTTATATAGAACATTCGTTATTTTTATGACACTTGACTATATTAGAATATATTTGTTAAATGTATTAAAATGTTATTGTTTGAAATTATTTTATTGTCTAATTATAATGTAATTGTAAAAGAGATTGTTTATTGCTTCGCAGAAATACATTTTCCTAGCAGAAAGGGCTATTTCACATTCTATAAGAATAAATTTCTAACGGTATTAATACGGTTGTCACGTAACATATTAATAAGGCTAGACGATTGTTTGTCGGACGTAATGTACTGTTAAAATCGAACGATACGATTGATCGCATCACTTCATTACTAAAACAGCAAATTAGGTAAAACGAATTCTACAAAATATTACGTTTTAAATTATTCAGAAGACCGTGAGTTTGTAGCCCGATAACTGTCGATATTGCAAAATATCGAGGCAGAAAGTTTGAGATATCGAAGTTCAGGTACAGCAGAGGTAGCGTTCTAACGTTGATTCAACTCGATCGTAAGCGATGGTCGAGATAGAAAAAGAGAGTGAGAGACGGAAAGAGAAGAAACGGTACAAAAAAAGAATGCAAAGGACAAAAGAGAGAAAAAGCCAAAGGAAAAGAGAGATAAAAAGAGAAAGGAACAAAAGAGAGAAAGAGATAGCGCGTGATCGCGAGAGAAGAAAAGAGGAGCGGAGGGAGAAGATAAATTGTCGAAGCTGCACTCGGTGGCCAATAAATTGTGCGGCATAGCCCCGAGGTTACCAAGATTGCTACGTGTCACATTCTTGCGAAAAATTGGACCGATGGAAGTATCTTAAAGCCAGGCAAATATGCGTCGCAAATGGACACGTACACGAACACATCAGACGATCAGACCACCCACCCAATTGTAAAACTATGGCAAAAAATAATGAATATTGCGTACATTCCTTGAGTCCTCGGTAAGTACAACGCGAATCTATTTCTATCTTCTTCCGTCTTACGTTTAAATACACGTTTAAAAAAATATAAGGTAGGTGCTTTTTCACTGATCGTTCAATAATTTCATAATTTCATTTTGAATTTAATAATGGCATACTTTTATATATATATATATATATATGTATAATTTAATGACAAGAAAATTAAGATATTTTATTTTTGTCATCGTATATTTAAAAAAATTTTAAATATTTATATCGAATCCTTTAACATTTTGATTGCTGTATCACTTATATCTGAATCACGCATAAAATTTATAAGGGTCCTGTTACGCATTTGTAGATGACGATTATATTTATCTGATTAAAAATTATTAAGTATTTGAGATATATTAAAGAAACAATATAAATTATATTAAATATAAAATAAACATAAAGTATAATACTAACACAAAATAATTAAGTGAATATTAAAACAATAGATTTACTAAAAACACTAGATTTACTAAGCTCAATGTCGAAATTAGCTGGCAGTCAAAATGTTAACTGTTCATTATGACTTCATGTTCATATAATTTGTGCTTGAAACGACGTAATCGTCATTCGAGACAGAAGCTTCTTCACTGAGATGCAGAACCGCTCAATTATTCCCGAAGGATAAGCGGTCGCCAATTGTAAAGGTTATATCTCTTGGTACATCGAGTTCAATGAAGCACACGGAGATACGCGACGACGAAGCGAAGGAGAATCGAGCACTACTAAGAAAGAAGTCGAAGAAGAAAAAAGAACAAGTAGGAAAATGAAATAAGAAACGCGAGAGTAAGAGCGAAACGTCGAAAGGTTAGCGGGTGGTTCAACCAATCTTCTACTTCGAGGTTTTAAGGGGGTAACAAATAGGGGTGGCAGATAGGAAGGACGATAGAGCCAAGGAGGCGGCGGGAGCACTCCAGGAGTTTACGACAGGACCGGTGCATGAACACGTCAAGGTGGGGCCTGGGGCACACTGGTGGTTACCGTCCCGAATGTCCAGCACGTGTGTGAATTCGTATGCACGTGTGCGGGTGATATACGTATATACGGAGAGGCGGCAGGGATCTTGGAACCAGCCCAAGTCGGAGCACACTGTACCTCGCTCTGAATACCCAGCATTAAAGCCAACTATAACGCTCTTTGGATCTCGATTATCGGCGATTTCACCTTTGAGGGTAAGATATACGACTCCGGTAAGGAATGCTGTTAAAGATCGTGCGATACTTAAACATTTTTACAATGTAAATTAATATATTTGACAGGTGTATTACCCACGCTAGATATATTTAGATTCGATCATTTATCACTGCTAAATAATACTGTTGCAATTATAAGATTATATTCAGGATTGGAAAACGTTACTTTTCGGTTACTTTTTATAGTAAACAATTTGATGACGATGTTGCGAATTTTTTACGACGGTAACGCTAACTAACTAAACGCTAAGGTACTAAGGTTAGAAAAGTCACTTTGAACAATAACTTGTCACTATTACACGTTACACTGAAAAAGTTATAAGTATAACGAGTAACGCGTAATGTTACGTTATTCGATCATTACTAAAAAGTAACGCGTTACAAATTAGGAGTTATTTTTGTCAGTAACGAATGACTTTTTCAATCCATTACAAGTAACGATTGACTTTTCTAACTCTGATGTTAGCATTACCATCATAAAAAATTCACAATGTTATTACCAAATCGTTATTATAACAAGGTAACGATCAACAAAGTAACGGCGTTACAAGTAACGCGTTACTTACCCCCCAACCCTGATTATATTATTATACAAAGTCAAATTATGATTTTATCGAAATTATTTAATATTTATAGGAAAGCTTAATAAAAGGAGAAGGAGAAAATGGAGGGAATGTTTAAAAAAGATGGAATTAAAAAAGATATGAAGATAGCTTCATATTTAAAAAAGAAATAATAACGCTTCCTTACCTCGAAATTGACACAACTTGAAAAATTAAGTTTCTCAGAAAAGAAGAAAAACTATTTTCCAACTTGATAGAAAATTATTGACTAATCAAATAATATCAGCAAAATGAATATATTCTTAACATGGCCAAATGTTATTTTTGTTTTCTAATAGTTCTTAAAAACCACTCTTTTTGAGTTATGACAATTTCGATAATTATTTTAAACTACCCTTTTTGAATTGTGAAAATTTTAACAACTTTTTAAGTTAAGTTAGTTCACTTTTGACAATTATTAAAAATTATAATTGATAACATGATACTATGTTTAACTTATTTATGATAATAACTCAGAAATTACGTTTTTTTGAGTTGTAAAAGTAGGGGAGCGATATCATTGTAATTTTCATTGTTTGTTTATCTTTTAGTGCAATGTTTATAATATACGTAATTCGTTCGATTAAAAAAAGAAAACACTTTTATACTGAAAGAGATGCGAGTATCATTTATATAAAGATAGTATTATTTCTTAAAATTAGAACAAATATAGAGATTTATATATTTATTGTTAGATTCTTTATTGTGTGTTTGTACATACTTAAGAATCACAGATCTAATTTCCTTTTAATTTATGATTCCAACGTTAGCTAATTTTAAGAAAATAATACAGTCAATTTGTGCTTTAATTGTAGTAAATAAGTCATAGACAGTTTTTTTAACTAATAAAAAACTGAAAAGAAACGAATTGTTATTAATCTACTTCGAGCATTCAGTTTCCAATTGCAAAAAATTATAGATTTTTATGTTACTTTTGTTATAATTTCTTCTTGCGAGCACACTGCTTGCGTAACGTATCCTAGCATTTGTTCTCGGCGTACTTCGTAATTTACTCAATGCGTTTGCATGTTTTATGGACGTTATATAAAACGTCGGAAATATACGGCGTCTCAAATATTTAAAGTTCGCTGGGGAATACGAGGCGAGACCTTCTCGCTCTCCTATCCTAGCTACGTTTGAAATTTCCACAGTCAATCTCTCTTTGCGCCTTCCTCGCCGCTTCGTATTCCATCCCGCTTCGTCCCTCCTCAGAAACCCGTCACGGCGTGCAAGTCTGCAGAAGCTTCGATGGAAGTTTGCTTTCGTAAGCGAACGTACCGCTTCCCTAACTAGTGCAAACGGAAACAGCTGAGAGAGAGAGAGGGGGGGACAAGGGGGGATGACGGGAGGAAGAGAGAAAGGAGGAAGAAGAGAGAGGGAGAGGGAAGGAAGAGAGTCCAGCCG